AAAACCAAGTATTTTCTTAATACTTGGGTATAAAGAAAAAGTCCATGCTACTTTCCATAATTCCTCCAAGTTTTAATAATATCCTGTTTTTTAATTTATAGCTTTGTTTTTTAAGATTACACCTAAGAGTCGTACATTACGTACCTATAAATTGCCTATATTTTATTGAGGGTCCAATTTTGGCTGGTGATTAAACAGGGAGATGAAGCATTTCGATGATCAGTTCCTACTTCCCAAGCACTTGCCCTGGGCTGGACAGACGTGAGTGTGGATCCTGGATTTGTCACCTACTCACTACTGGGCCATTGGGAAGTTATTCAACCTCTTTAAGATTCATTTGCAAAATGGAGATAATATCTAATGCATAGTATTGTTTTGAGTATTAAATGACATAATGTTTAAAACACCATATTGAGGCCTGTTATAACTAAAAATACAATTCCCATTTGAGTCCAGTCTAAATTCAATTGCTTCTAAATGTTCTCAAAATCATACAAGTTTAGATTCTTCTCTTATTTCACTAGGTCCCTGATGTGCTTATGCAGTTAGTTGATTACAGGATCTTACAAGGATGAAAATAAACTTCCGCATTATCTGGGAGTTAATTCTGTTCGGGTCCCTCAGTCACTATCTTGTTGATGCAGCATATGTTATTTATTCAGATTTTTTGCCTAGATCAACATTATTTTAGTTATTCTCAAGAGTACACTCTAAATTTGGGGTCTCACAGTTTTTTGGTTTTAATTCTCAGCCTGGCTTTAGGTTGCAAGTTTCAACATTTTGCCTTGACTTAAGCCCTCCCATCGCGTGCACCTAATACTTAAATTTTATCTTGTCTGTGTGTCCTTGTGGGCACACCCTCACAAACTACTTCTGTAACGTGCTATGCCTCTTTCATGTTTCTCACACAGCAGAGCTTCTTGTGCCAGGCAGATTCGTTCTGATGTTGTGATCCTGGACTTCCATTCTAATCATTTCACTGCAAAATAGTCTCACATCTGAGGGCGAAGTGGTGGCATATTTTAGCATGGCGACATTTTAATGTTTTTGATGAAAATCCATGGTAACCATCTCTGTAGTTACGTGTTCCTCAGTCGCATTAGTCATCATACGAGCCCACATCAGTCACCAAGCATTTGGTGCAGTGTTTGTGTGATCGTCACCGTTGTGGTTATTATCAGAATGACTCGGGAGTTAGCACCTGAAATGGTAAATAATGCGTGGATTTTCTAGAAGCTACTGAGATCATGTTTTCCCCATTTGAGAACATAGCTACAGTGACTCTCCCTGAGATTAGGGACTCTGAACTTACCATGTTGTGATCATCACACAGGAGTATTAAAGTACTACCTTGCAATTAGCAGTTATGCCAAACATATTTTTTGAAACAATGACTCTAACTCAATGACATGGTACGGGGATTGCTAACTCTGGGCGTATGTGTCTGGGTCTGTCTGTTTTTAATATTTTTGATATTTTCCAAAAATCTAAATGGGGAAAAAAATCATTCATTTATGCCTTTCCTTCCCCAGGCCTACCAGAGAGGAGCTGCTCCTAAAAGCCGAATTCTTCCGGCTGGTGGGAAGGTGTCAACCTCAGAAGAAGAATATAATCTGTTATCTGATAAGCATTTCCCAGACCCTCTGGGTGAGTTGCTAGCATTCTTTTTCAAGTCAAAATTCCCAAACTTCTTTGTTTAGTTAGACTGGTGGTTCTTAATGGGGGAGAGGGATTTTACCCTCCAGGGATATTTTCTGGAGACATATTTGGTTGTCACACTTGGAAAGGGATGGCTACAGGCATTTAGTGGGGAGCAGCCAGAGATGCTGCTAAACATCCCATAATGCACAGGACTGCCCCCAACAATGAATAATTATCTGGCATAAAATATGAGTAGTGCCAACGTTGAGAATCCTAGGGCTAGATACCCACGCTCCATAGACAAATGGAAGATGCGATTTCTCTAATTTAGGTAAACATTGTACCTCTTCTATTATTTCAAATCCTATTCAGTAACATACAAGTCAGTTTTTGTGTTTCTAGCACATGGGAAATGTGCTATTGGTCAGGTATCTTGAAGCTTTTGGAGTATATTGCAGGCTTTGGTAGCATCCTACAGGGCAGCAGAAATAAACAGGTAGGGCCCGGTCCATGAAAACAGGTAGGGCCCGGTCCACGAAATGTGCGCTTCCATCTTTCAGTAAGCAAGCCTGGACCTGTCAGGGAATATTATTTTTCTAATTTAGGGTATGTAATAAAATACCCTAAATTAAAAAAAAAATCTTTTAATAAGAGTTACAGTAGTAACTCGTAGTTACTGTGTAAAAAAAGCATTGCATTAATTCGCCTATCTGTAAATAAAGCTGACTGGTGCCATGGAAAGAGCACCGAACCGAGAATCGGGAGCCTGGATTCTTATCTGGTTCCGACTGTGCCACTTATCAAATGTCCTACCTTTGCCAGCTGTCGAAGCTCTCTGGTTTCTATTTTTCCAACTCAAAAACAGGGCTTTGAATTTGAAAATCTAGAAGGGTCTTTTTAGCACTAACGTTCTTTGATTCTCATTCATTGTACTTTATTCATGTAGAAAACATGATGGATAATATATAGGCCAAATAGGGCAATTCATAGAGATTCATGAACTGTGGATAGCATAATAACTCCATCTGGCTTTGTATAAATCATACTACACGGTAATTACACGGCTTCTTGAAGAGAGCCCTGGTTCTTATTAATGGCATAATCATTTCATCAGAATTTATGGAGAAAATATAATCATTTTATCAATTGTTATTTCAGTGCGGAATGCTTAGTATGGTGTTTTTAATAACACAATTATAGGATTAGTGCATGGATCATAAACCTAGATTAACTAGTTATTACTAAGTAATTCAGGCTAAAACAATACTTATGTGTACTATGCATATTATTATATTTCCTTTCAACATCTACTTATATGCCATCTTGGCTGTGGAGCTGCAGCTGGAAATGGGAATACCAATATGTTGACTCTTCAAAATCCCTCCAGAACTTTCCAATGAAATCAGCCAGAACAGACAATATATTTACTGATTTATTGATGAAATCATGTCAGAAGGAATGAAAAGGATTAAAAAACACAAGGCCTGTGTGTCTAACGCCGATTGGCCCAGGGCTTCACATTGGGGCATTTCAATGACTTTTTAAATTGAATAGTGTGGCCTTCTGAGTTTTAAAAATAGAATATTCTACAGTAGTTCATTTGTGATGTCTTTATAACTCAACTTAGAAAAAATGCAGACTGATGGCATCTGGAAAATTGTTGTAAAAGGTTAAGTGAGAGATAATTAGAGGCTAATAGGAGTGACTTTTATGGGGCTTGCTGAGGCTTTTAAATGCAAAGGGTCAATGTTGCTTTCGGCCATTTGCACAAAATTATGACATTCTTGGAGAAGGCACAGAAAACTGTTTTAGAAAACCATGTCAATCGGGAAGACTGATTGTGTGATACTATGTCTAGTGGAAAGAATCAAGGCACAATAAAGATGGATGGAATTAACCTTGCTCAAGGAAAAGCACTAGAGGCTTATGAATAAATGTATTCTTTACCGAGTGTTGTGCTAAGATGATGTATCAAAAATGCCCCCATATTTTGCTAAAGTAATTCACTTATTTGGCATTTTATTAGTTAGAATCTGGTTTGCCATACACAACAAAAAACTCAAATTAAATACATAAAGTTTTATTATCTCCCAAAAAATATTTGCATATTAGTCCAGGGCTGGTGTGACAGATCCGTACATTTCTCAGAGACTCAGGCTCTTTCCAGCTTTCTCTCCTATTATTTCTAGGTTGTAACCCTTATTGGCAGAGTCTAAGTGGCTGGTGGAGCTCCCGCCGTGGCTTTCTCCTTCCAGATAGCAGGAAGGAGAAAAGGGGAGGAGGAGGACCTATTATTCCTTTTCTTTAGGGATACGTCCAGGAAGTTTCTCGTGCCACTTCAGTTTACATCCTACTGGTCAGAACTTAGTAGCTATGGGGACACCAAGCTGCAAGGGAGGCTAAAAGTATATAGTCTTTATTTTATGCGGTCACTTTGCCCAACTAAAAATCAGGGGTATTAAATGACTGAGAAAGAAGGGGAGAATAGATACTGTGTCACAACTATGGGTCCTTTTACAGCATTCGGTCATTTGTTTGTTCATTCGCACGTTAATTCATGCTTATGTTATGATGCGCCGGGCGTTTTGCTAGGTCCTGGTGGGCCAGATCCCAGTGCATTCCACTGTTTCCTTTGGATTTCCGGACACAGGCAGGGCTCCCATCTGTGCCCTGGGAATCTATTCCTTGTTTAAGCCAATCCTGATTTATTAATTTGCCAATAGCCGACTCGGCTCTGGAGCCTCCCTTACGGTAATGATTCATTTCTTCGTGTGTCCAGGGCTCTGAGTGGCCTCTCCAGGGGTCCCCCTTCCCTTCCTTTCTCTGAGATGTGGGTGTCCTTGCTCGTTCTCCATGACCCTGGAAACAGGCTGGGACTCATTTAGCCAAGCACAATATCATGGAACAGGAATGCATGGAGAGGAATAAAGTTTAGTTAAGGGTTCTGAATAGTAGAATGGTTTAACATGAGTTTCTTGGAATCGCTTTTGAGGGAAGAAGTAAAAAGTCCCATTATTTAGGGCTTTTAAAATTTCCCAGGCCAACATGGCACATTTTTCATTCAACAAACTGGAGTTGACTATGTACCAATTTCCATGGCTGTGCTATGGGCTGAGGACACAAAGGTCTGTAAGACGCTGTCTGCATCTTTAGGAGCTCACAGTCTGGGGAGGGGAACCTCGGGAGAACCAACAGGGGAGCTCATCTCACTCCGCCCCCCTACCCCATCTCCCCACCCTGAGAGTGGGTGCCAGATACAGAAACAGGTCATTACGATAGTTGAGGAGAACAGGTTGGGAGCACCCAACTGCATCTCTGGTAGCTGGGGGGTGGTACCAGCAAAGGCATCCCAGCGGAGGGGCCTTTTGAATTGACTTTTGAAGGATCAATGAGAATTTTCTACGGGAAAACATGATGGAAAGGAAGGAGAAAAGGGTAAAGTGACTGTAAAAGCAATACAAAGAGTCATGGAATGGATGAGTGCGCCCTGTGAGGGCACAGACCGAGCGTGGAGAGGAAACCACCAGAGAGCAGGGCAAACACCAGCACTTACTGGGAAGATGGAGAGAGGTGGCAGAGGAACCAATGCAAGTGACAAAGTGGAGACAATTTTTAAACAGCATGAAGGAAAGAAGCCAGGAGAAAGGTGCTCCTGGAAGTCAAGGGGAGAGAATGTTTCCAAAAGAAGGGATCGTTAGCAGCAACGGATGTTACAGGTCAGATTAAAAGGGCAAGTAATAAAGAAACAGCCAGAGGCTGGCAATCAAGATGACATAAGTGACCTCAGCCATCGGGGTTCAAAAACCTCGGGGGCAACAAACAAAACAAGGCAAAACAAGGGGCAAGGCCGGGAAAAAACAAAGTCCGGTCAACAAGGAAGGGGGGGAGGGAGAGCGCAGGGCAGAGGCAGACCTGGTGGAGCTGGCGCCCGCGGGGAGGGTAGCGGGAGTGTCTGCACAGGTGGACGGGCGACCGCAGAGGGGCAGGAGGGAAGGGGGAGCTCTGTTTGCAGGTCTTTTTGACTTAAGGAAGTTGAGAAAGATTATGTCTGCTGGCCTCGGCTGTCCCTGCAGCCTGCTGCAGTGAGGCTGGGGACCCTGGGGGAGGGGTGGGGTGGGAGGGGAGGCAGCACTCCCATTTCCCCACCCTACGAAAACATCTTATACCAACTTTCCATCCCATGGCCGGCCGCAAACAGCTACCATCACAGCCTGAAATAAATATTTGCGATGAAAGATACATGCTTTAGAATGTATTTGTGTTTTCAATATTGTTTTAGCGTCCGGTGAGAAGGAGAACACGCAGCCCTTTGTGGTCATGCCAAAGGAATTCCCGGTGTACCTGTGGCAGCCCTTCCTCAGACACGGCTACTTCTGCTTCCGCGAGGCTGCCGAGCAGAAGAAGTTTAGCACCCTCCTGAGTGACTGCATCCGGCATCTAAATCACGGTATGGCACGGCCTCCCTCTCTTCCCCAGCCCGGCTGCTTTCTCTGAGTTGCCCTGGACTGTCATCTGTTACAGCGATTCTTAGAACGAGCCACAGATGGAGCTGCCCCAGGCAAAGACAGGAAAACAAGCAAAGCGGGTGCTGTACACAGGAGCGTGGCCCGCTTGCTGGTGGTTCGGTCGGGTCTGGGAGGTCTCAGTGGAACACAGCATGTGAACATCAGCTGATGACAAGCACAGACACGCATTTGGGCTTCTCTGTGTTTATTTATGCAGGTCATTTTGCATGTAAATCATGCTCCTTTTCCCTGATTGTTCAAATTTAAATGCCAGCAAGAATGTGCCAATTTGTTCCTGACAAAATAATAGTCTTTCTGACATTTCTTGTTTATTTCCACCTTTATTTCTGAATAACAGTTACTTACTTAAATCAGTGGCAGTTTATTATCTAATATTTATTTCTCAAACATTGGTTCTTAGAACTTTAGGGTCCTTAAGAACCACCAGAAGAACTTAATTAAAACCCAGATTCTTGGGATTTGCTGGGTCTACTATGAGGGGGCCCCAGATTTTGCTTTTCTAACAAACTGCCAAGGGTTGCTGCTGCCGCTGGTCCGTGGGCCGCCCTTGGAGTGGTGTTGCTTCAGAACACTTTGCCTCTAGGTACAGATTTAATTAGTATTACGTCTATAATAAAAGAGATTTTTCACTGCAGTACGTGATGTTTTCGATATATTAATGTGAATGCCGGTTTTTCTGGACTCCGTGAAGCCTTCAGTTACAGATAACTGAACTCTTTGTTCTTCGGCAATTGTAAAGGCAGCCGGTCTAAGAGCAGGGAGAGCTTCTTCTGTGCTCTCCTCTCTCTGGATGTTAGGAACAGAGTAACGAAGCATGCAAAATTCCTCTGTCTTGGAGTCTAAACTCAAACAGGGAGGAAGGACAAACACACCCACAAATTCTCATCTGGTAGTTATCAAAGTTAATGCATTAAAGAGTAATAGAGGTCACTAAATAGTGATGCAGGGAGTACAGTACTTTAAGCTTGCAGGGGAGGCCTCTTTGAGCAGGTGACATTTGAGCTGAGTCACTTCATTTGTGTGCCTTCATTTCCTAATATGGCTAATTTGCCTGTGCACTTACTTTAAAGCGAGAGGTCTCCCTGACAGTGTCAGTCGCTTGGGGTGAGAGTCGCTCGTGCTGCATCTCAGCTGGTTCTTGGTTTTAGCTTGTGTATCGATAGCAGGCTGATGGAAAAAGAGGATGTCACTCTGTTTTGCTATAGCAACTCTGAGTAACATTTGTCATAATATTGGCCCATAACTAGTTAGGAACGTTATAAAAATGGTACTCTTATTAACATCTTACCTGTGGTTTTGACGTTTTAGAAACAAAGAATTGCCCAGCACTGTCTGCTCCCTCTAGCTCATTCTCTACTATACTCACACCTCTGTGTCTGGGGCCTTGTTCTAGTACGAACATGCAGTTGGCACTAACCACAAGAACCGCGAAGTTTCACTGAGCAGAGAATGTTCCCTGCTCAGCCAAACGGGACTTGCTGCGTTCCCCCTTCCATGTACATAATAGGAATTTCTCTGGGGAGTTTTGGGAGGTTATGTAGCCTGCATTTAGACTCCATTTATGGAAGATTTCAGTGGATTCGAAACCTAACTCTGCTCTCCAGTATGTTATCAAAGGCACCACGATAATGAGGTCTCATTATAGTTCCCTGCTTCTGTGTCGCATTCCTCTGTCCAGAAACTGTTTTTTCCTCACTGAGGCTTTCCACGGGCTTAATTTGGCATCACTTCCAGTAGCTTCGGTCAGAACCAGAGACCATCGCAACACTGTAGGGAACAGTCCTTGACTGTCCTGGGCCGAGGAACTCGGGGGACTTTCCCTGCCTCGCTCTCTGTTTTCCACAGGGCGATGGACCACCCAGTGCCTCTGTATCACTTTTTCTGTTCTAATTATTCGTTGTATGATCTTGAATAAACCAGGGAGATTTTCATGAGCTGCCAGTTAACCGTATTTTCCCCTTAATTACCAAAAGAATTTAGATATAAATATGAAATTAAGGCTGTGAAAAAGGCCAGAAACCCTGAGGGGGCCGCTGGGAGCCTGCTGTCTTGCGCCCCCAGGCCAGTGGAGGAGGGCTGGCAGCTTGCTGTTGCCAGTGCTTCGCTGGCTCTGGAGCCACCATGCGTCTCTGTCTAGAACTGGGTCCTAGACACTCTAGCAGCTGATGCTGGGCCGCTGTTCATCCCACTTGGGGTGCCCAGGAAACATCCCCCAGTGCTCAAATGCTTCTACAACCCAGCCAAGGCCCCAGGAGTGTTGGCTTTGAATTGGTCTAGGTGCCTATGTCCGTTGATTCTGAATGTGGAACCACTTGTCCTGTTCATCTTTGTGGGGTGAGTGTGTTTCCTGTTTAACCCTGACAAAGGGCCTGGTGACACCCAGCTGTTAATAAGCCCACCGCCTAAGGTGGGGAAGGGCAGGTAGAGAGCCCTGTGCTCCTCCCTCTTTCAAGGCAGCGAGCAGCCTCTGGTGCCTCAAAGGTTATTTACACTCCTAAGGAGCATAAAGATGTGCATGTGTGTGTGTGTGTGTGTGTGTGTGTGTGTGCGTGTGTGTGTTTTGTTTTGGTTTAGTTTTGACATCTTTTCACTGAGCAGGCATAGAGAAATCTCACAAGATTAATCTTCAGGAGAATCTTCCACTCCAACTCACTGGACTAAATATCAAGCCCATTGTATGACATGTGCCTAGAGTAGCTGCTGTTCTCTGTCCCTTTTAAAGTCACACTGCCGTCGCTTGTCCCCCATTGAGGAAGGCCATGGTTCTGAATGTCCACTGCCAAAAAATGGGACTTATATTAATATAAAGCCAAGATGTTCTGAGATAGTCCTGTTGTCCAAAATTCAGTCTTATTCTTCAGAATTTTAGTTTGCAAAATATGCTTGTTGTAGTTATAGGGATATAGTTAGGACTCCAAGAGGGCCAAACACGTGCACTATGGAATAATGGCCATTATCAGTGGGAATGTGTTCTTCCAGCTCAGGATGATCATTCCTTGGCACCTAAATTTGCAGGAAGTGGAAAAAATGCTTCTGGCAGAAGGGATAGGATATGCGAGGGCCAGGAAGCGAGACAGAGCATGGACCGTTAAAGGAACTGAAAAAATTTTGTGTGGCTGGTGCTCAGAGAGGAGAGAGGAGCAAAGTGAGGATGGAGAGACAGGCGGGATCCAGACCCTGCAGGGCTTTGTGATGCATATTAAGAGTTTGGACTTTATTGGAACAGCAATAGGAAATCATTAAAGTGTGTTAAGTTGATAAGTGACCTCACCGGACATTCACTTTAGAAAGGTCACAACGGCTGCCGTGTGGGCAGTGGATTGGAGGGCGGCAGGCTACATGGCAAGGCCACTTAGGAAGCTTTGGCAGATGACAGAGAGTTATAGCCAGCCCCAGAGAGGGGTGCATGAGTGAGTGAAGGCATTTGTCAACATAAAGCCATTGTACTCAGCCTAAAGGATTTGGGGAACAGAGCAGTTGGATGTCAGGAGGCAGCCATCGGGGGATGAACGGTGGTTCTGGAAGGGAGGTGGATTGCTGGCCAAGCTTCGTTCCACAGCGCTGTGCAAGCACAAAGGGCAGCCGGGACTGCCGCTCCCCAGATGCCAGTGCCCATGTCATCATAAACACTAAGGAAGAGGGGACAATAGAATATCTGGGAATCATGAAGACACATTGATTGAAACAGATAATGTCAAAGAAAAGCTCAGAGTATTTTGATAATAAGACCGTAATGATGTAAAGGCACTCTGCAAACCTCTGCTTCACGTTGGACTAGTTCCGTCACCTAGGACAATTACAACGTCCAAGGGGGCTTATGATGGAGTGAGTCGGGCTGAACGCGTAGCTGTAACAGCAATTGCGTTTTGGAATTGGTTGCTCTGTCAGTGCTGTGTGCCTTGAGCTCTTATCCCAGAAATCCCATGTTAAATCAAATGTCTCTATTAGATTCGATTTTGACACAGTGGCACATTTTGGGTGTTCAATAGATGTTGCTGAATTAAATTGAATTTGAAAACAAAAAAAGGACCTTACAATTCAAATCAGATAGAGCAAATCCTTTTCGATGTGTTTATTTGAACATGATGTTTTATGCTGTCCCGTGCTCAGCAGCAAGTCTCAGATCTATTTTCGCCAACTTAATTTCTACTCGGAGCCTGTTCTCACCTATGAAGCAAGTTCATTACTTGAAGAACTAAATGTCTAGTATGGGCATCAGTCAATTCCAACTGCAAATATATGATGAATTTTATTTTGTAATATATAAAAACGTACTTTTAACTTTTGTGGTACATGCTTATATTTGTGGCTGCACACATACGGAGTTGGAAAATTCTAACTTATGCCTAGGCTCTTTTGGACACTTTACTACAAATGAATAATGTTTGGAGATAGGTAAATTAAAACACAATTTTTGTTAACATTTCTTTGAATATTTTTACGTATAAAATATTACGTAGTATACCGGTGTTGCAGTACATCCATAAAATCCTCCATGTGCTGCAAACAAAATGCTTGCTAGTAAATAAGTAGATATCAATTTCTGGTTTTCATAGAACTGCCCCAAACAAAATTCTTTAAAAGGACTTTCTCTGCTTGGACTATATTTTCTCCTAGAGTTTAGCCTGTGCTCTTTTCCTCAAATAGTTAATCCTCTACAATTATAAATATTTCTCTCTGTCCTTTTGTGAGTATGTGGTTTTCTCTTAAGTTATCACTTTTCCCTCTCTGGTCCTTGCTGGTTATTCAAAAAATTCTAAATTTGGAAGGGACCTTTGTGTAACCTATTCCAATCCCTCAGGGTTTAATTATGATAAGACTTATATAGGTCACAGCTAGTTAGTGGCAAAGGACCAGTTGTCCTGACACCTGGCCCTTGACATCTGTTTCAGTTATAGGTATCATGTTGTCTTCTCAGTGT